GAGCAGGGAGCCCGATGTGGGGCTCGATCCCAGGACCCTGGGATCATGACCTGAGCCGAAGGCAGACGCTTAACGACTGAGCCACCCAGGCACCCCTCACACGTATTATTTTCATATTTAAAGACTGTAGTACTGAAGCAGAGACACAGAGATATTATGATATGCATTTAGAAATTAAATATAACAATATCAACACAACACTGTGTAAAAACTCATAGGTACACTTGAAATAAGCCCGAGGTCTGGGCATTCATGGCCATCCAACTTCCCCCTGGAATCCGGTGAACCTTTCTGGGAGGTTGTCCACGGGGTACATGATGGGATTGGTTTTCATTACAGGAGGTCCATTTAAAAGCTGCCAGTCCAATGCCTCACCAACTCTCCTGTAAATATTTCAAGAAGAATTTTTGCAAAGGCCGCCTCCAGATGGCATGAAGCTAAACCTGGATGCATCCGCTGGGTGAGGCAGCATAAATCAGCCGGGACGAAATCTCTCCGTGTTGGTGAAGATATCTACCACATCGTGAGTATCACAGAGACTGTAGACACCAAATTCTGCAGCAAATAAATTCACAAGTGGAAAGGGGTGGATGGGGAATCTAAATATTCAGAGACTTAAAAATATTTGAAAAGTGAAACCAAACCTCAACGTTGAGGGATGCGTGAGGGGGTGATAATGCCGCAAAGAGAGGAAGGAGGCATCATAAAACAGGGCTGGACAGCAGTTGACAGAGGGCAGGGTGGGGTCTGTGGCGGATGGAGCACAGATGGGAGCTTCTAACTGGGTTCTGTCCCTTGATTTGGGTAGAGGTTATAAGTATGTTCACCTTTTGATTCTTTATTAAACTATACACCTATTTTCTGTATTTGTGCTAATTGTTTTTTTAGCCATATATAGATGGTATGTTTGTTTTCACTACCTGCCCTGATTCTTTCTCTACCTCTGCATTTGGAGCCCTTCTGACAATTAGCTGCCAATTTCTGGGTTCTGAATTCTGCCCAGTTCCCTATCCATCTTTTCCTAGACTCTCTCCTAATTATATATCATATCAATCAGAACAGGCTGTTCTGTTGCAGAAACAAACCTTGAGATCTCCATAGCTTAAAACAAAGGTTTGCTTATTGCTTATGCTACGTGTCTATGACATCTTAGCAGAGGCCTCTGCTCAGCTTAGTTGCTCAGGGACCCCGGCTAACAGAGTAGCGACCTTCTCAGATACTTTCAGAGGCTGCGTCAGTACTGACTGGCAAGCAAATGCTTTAGCATGGAAGTGATACATGTAACTTCTGCACTCAGTTCATTGGCCAGAAGTAATCACATGCCACTATCCAACCACAAGGTGGGTGAAGCACAGTACCATAAATGTGCTCAGAAATATTTGGTAAACAACATTCATAAAACAGTCCCTGTGTTGCATCGTTCTGATACACGCAAGTTTCAGTTACTGTGATTTAATTAGATAATATCAACCCCCAACAGAGTGGTTCCAACTTCCATTGCCATGGTTTATGACTGTAATTGCGTAAAGTACAAATTTCACTGCCTGCTTTTCAGACCACAGATTACGAACAGTGAAGTGACCCATCGCATCGCTCCTTTCGAAGTCTGTCCGTGACTGGTCACCATGCTCCTGGCAGTCAGTTCATACACAGGCAGCGAAGTGTGTGGTTGTGTTGCCTCCTTGCCTGCCCATGATAAACCCACATGACATTTTACAAAAATGGAGAATCTCTAGAGGATTAGCTAACAAAAACAGAAGTACAGCAAAGAAACAAAAAGTGAAAACACTGGCAGCGAAATTGGATGTGGATAGATTTGAAAATGGCAACAGCAAAGCAAAGATTGGAGGAGACATAGGGCTGTGAGAAGCTATGGTGCTAACCTTACTGGAAAAGTCCAGTGAGTATAAAAAACCAGGTGAAGTCACTTCATTATCTTTCAATTTTCATTACAGTAGCAACATGAAGCCACTCATGGTTGAAATGGAATATTTTCTTCTACTTTCAGTTGAAGAGCATAATATTTCAAAATCCTAATTAGTCTGGCTAACATTCAGACCAGAGGATTGAGGTCAGTTGCCACAACAAGAAAGTCAATCACGAGAAGACTGAAGAAGAACCATTTATTGCCGAAAAGGCTGGTTTCATCATTTCAGATTTTAGTGTGAGTTGGTTGATGTTAAGCTACTTGCACACCCAGGAATTTGCACCCAGATCTGGAGAAAATGACGATGTCCCAGAGGAAGTGATGTCAGCAAAAACCCTTCACCTCAAAGAAATGCTCATAGATATTTCATGGCATTGCAAGAGTGAAGGATAAACCGTTGCAAGCTGATCCAAACTCCGTAAGAAGCATGACCACACACCAAGACATGGAAAAGGTGCCAGCTGCACATCACAAGTTAGGGGATGAGGGGAAGAAGGCAAGCGCTGTTCAAACTACCTTTCTAAAAGAAACTTATAGAATGGGGCGCCTGGGTGGCTCAGTCGGTTAAG